GTTTTGTGTGGTACATGCGTGCGTGATTGTGCCTGTGCTTGCGTGTGCGTGTATTTGTGTACAAATACACAAGCTTGTGTGTGTTTGTGAGTGTGCGTGCGCGCGCGCGTTTCCGCAGGTGTGTCTCAGTTCAGCTATGAAAGTGAAAGGCAATTCTTACCAGTTTGGCAGAGCAGTCTGCAGTAATGGCTACCTGGTCCCGGCGGAACCTGTTCCTGCTCTCGCTCCCTCCCTCCCTCTCTCCCTCCCCCTCTCCCTTCCCCTCTCCCTTCCTCTCTCCCTTTCCTTTCCTCTCTCCCTTCCCTTCCCCATGTTCGTCCTCCCTACGTGATCTCCCTACCTGCCTTACCTACAGTCTTCTACCTCTCTCTCTCTCTCTCCCCTCAGAGCCTGCCTCAATCCGCTCTACCTCCCTCCCTTCCCAACTCCCCCTTCTCTCACCCCTAACCTCGTGGGATTAACCCTTCACCCCCTTAAAGACCCTTCATTCCTTCTCCCCCCCCTCTTCGCCAATCCCCCCCTCTCCCTCTTCTCTCATTCTTTCCCACCACCACCTATACCACCCCTTCCCTCCCCCCCCACCACCACGCCCCTTAAGAAAATAACATACCTGTCGTTTCGACATTGTTTTCATTCGTGCAATCATTACTTAGGTTGGCTTCTGTACACTTCCTGATTCTGAGAGCAGGGAGTAAGGTTGGGCAGTCGTGGATAGCAACTTGTGGTGGTTGGCGTTTAGTATTTGCGTCGATATTGGGGTTTGAAGTGCAGGGAACTTTTGCTTCCGTAGGTGTGTGTGTGTGTGTGTGTGTGTGTGTGTGTGTGTGTGTGTGTGTGTGTGCGTGCGTGTGTGTGTGTGCGTGTGTGTGCGTGCGTGTGTGTGTGTGTGTGTGTGTGTGTGTGTGTGTGTGTGTGTGTGCGTGCGTGTGTGTGTGTGTGTGTGTGCTAACTGAGATGTATGTACAGGGTTGGCTTATAGCTCCCTAGCCCCGGTTTTCAATCTCCTTCTCAGTTAACGCAATGACTTTCATTCGTTGTATTTGTTGTATTTCGTTTTGAAGCTGCTTATTGGATACAACTCGGATCTATTTTTTGTTTGTAGGTCGTGTCTACTTTCCTGCCACTATTACGGTGAAGAACTGTATGCTGGTGGATCTCTGGCTCATCTGTGTCCCCCAGCATCAAGAGTGGGGGGGGGGGGGGGGGGTAGAGTGGGGGAGGGTAGAGTGGGGGGGTAGAGTGGGGGGGGGGGTGTTGAGTGGGGGTAAAGTGGGGGGGGGGGTGTTGAGTGGGGGGTAGAGTGGGGGGAGGGGGGGTAGTGTGATGGGTGTATGACAGAAAGAGAGCAGTAGGTCAGTGGTCCTGTATAAGTTGCATCGTTAAGCTGGAGGTCACCTGTCTATGTACGTGTGTAGTAGGCTGCCGTAAGTGTGGGGGGCCCTTGTGAATGTTGAACGTATACCTGTGAGAGTCGTATGAATGTTGAACGAGTGATGGTGAGAGCTGCTGAGGGCGCTGAAGGTGACCACATTGAATACATCATACCCAAGACTCCGCTACATACTAGAGGTATCGTCAGGCAACATCACCGTGACAAGGTTACTGAGGAAAGGAGGATAGAAGAACAAACTAGTCAATGTGTACGATCGTACAATGTGGTTGTAGCTGGTAATCCCAATTATTACGGAGGAAGAGGAGGTGGCCGCGGGAGAGATTCGGTAATAGCAAGAATTCGCCTTGGATACAAATATCCATGGAGATACGGAATGTAAACAACAGTTGAGCAGCAAAGTTGCAGAATCTGTGACGAGAGTGATGGACACCGCCTTGACCACCATCTAAGAAACTGTGAACACCTGAGGGACATTAGAAATGTGTAAAATAATAAACCCCAAATTGTTTGACTTAGGAAAACACTGTCAAACATTGCTACTGTTCTTTAGAGATGACCCCTATTTTGCACCCGCAAGATAACGTAAGATTTTAAGGGTTGACAAATGTTAATCTTGTTTGAGGAGCTGTTCACTTGAGACAGTTAAGCAAGTCCCAGCTGTGTCTGGGTACAAGTGACAGGATGAACAACCCAGCGGGTTTTCTTCCTATTGGGGAGTGTTGTACATGCTGCTATGGCGGTGTGTCCACTCACAAGATGAGTGGCGCTGCCCAATACTGTCACTATGGCGGCGTGTCCACTCACAGGATGAGTGGCGCTGCCCAATACTGTCACTATGGCGGTGTGTCCACTCACAGGATGACTGGCGCTGCCCAATACTGTCACTATGGCGGCGTGTCCACTCACAGGATGAGTGGCGCTGCCCAATACTGTCACTATGGCGGTGTGTCCACTCACAAGATGAGTGGCGCTGCCCAATACTGTCACTATGGCGGCGTGTCCACTCACAGGATGAGTGGCGCTGCCCAATACTGTCACTATGGCGGTGTGTCCACTCACAGGATGACTGGCGCTGCCCAATACTGTCACTATGGCGGTGTGTCCACTCACAGGATGGGTGGCGCTGCCCAATACTGTCACTATGGCGGTGTGTCCACCCACAAGATGAGTGGCGCTGCCCAATACTGTCACTAGTGCTGTGTGTCCACTCTCAGGATGAGTGGCGCTGCCCAATACTGTCACTAGTGCTGTGTGTCCACTCTCAGGATGAGTGGCGCTGCCCAATACTGTCACTATGGCGGTGTGTCCACTCACAGGATGAGTGGCGCTGCCCAATACTGTCACTATGGCGGTGTGTCCACTCACAGGATGAGTGGCGCTGCCCAATACTGTCACTAGTGCTGTGTGTCCACTCACAGGATGAGTGGCGCTGCCCAATACTGTCACTGGCGGTGTGTCCACTCCCAGGATGAGTGGCGCTGCCCAATACTGTCACTGGCGGTGTGTCCACTTTAAGGATGAGTGGCGCTGCCCAATAAACTCGCCCCTCGGGGCCAAATTTAAACAAAATAAAGTGGGAGTTGTGTGAAGGTTTAATGTGGGATAGTGAGATCCGTGTGATAGTGAGAGGTGTGTGAAGGTCTACCATGTGATAGTGAGAGCCAAGGAGGAGCTGTGGTTGCCCACGTCTCTTGAAATACAAGCACGTAAGCAGTTGGTTTCTTTGAGGGTAGGACTGTCATGTGTTTCTCATGTGCAGCTTTGGTTGTCTTAACTCATTGTTTACCGGGGCCCTTGCGGCGGAGTGGACAGCGCTCTGGGGTCGTAGTCCTAAGGGCCCGGGTTCGATCCCTGGCAGAGTTTATTTCACCCTGGTGCCCCTGTTTTAAACCTAGCAGTAAATAGGTACCTGGGAGTTAGACAGCTGCTACGGGTCGCTTTCTTGGGATTGTCTGCGCGCGCATGTGTAAGATAAATATATGAAGTAGACATAATAGAGGAAACATAAATTGGTTAGAAAGGCGGGGGCCAATAGCTCAATTCTACAGATACAAATAGTAAATACACACACACACACACACACACCTGGTGGGGCCTCGTAGCCTGGTGGATAGCGCGCAGGACTCATAATTCTATGGCGCGGGTTCGATTCCCGCACCAGGCAGAAACAAATGGGCAAAGTTTTTCACCCTGAATGCCCCTGTTACCTAGCAGTAAATAGGTACCTGGGAGTTAGTCAGCTGTCACGGGCTGCTTCCTGGTGTGTGTGTGTGTGTGTGTGGTGTAGAGAGAAAAAAGTAGTTAGGAGTAAAAGTAGTTAGTAGGAGAGTTAGTAAACAGTTGATTGACAGTTGAGAGGCGGGCCGAAAGAGCAAAGCTCAACCCCCGCAAACACAACTAGGTGAATACACACACACACACACACACACACACACACACACACACACACACACAAATATAGTTAAAGCCAAATGGGTTGAACTTCTAGAGAGTAATGCCATAACACCGGACAGCCAGTATGGTTTTCGAACAGGAAGATCCTGTGTAACAAATCTACTTAGGTTTTATGATAGAGCCACGGAGATATAACAGGAAAGAGGTGGTTGGGTTGACTGTGTCTATCTGGACCTAAAAAAAGGCTTTTGATAGTCCCACACAAGAGGCTGTTCTGGGACAAATCTAGAACAAGGAGATCCACCATTATTTGAAATATACAGTAGTTGTATGGTGGCCAAATCTCAAGAAGCACATAAATAAACTGGAAAAGGTGCAACGGCATACTACAAAATGGCTTCTGGAACTGAAAAACAGTAGGTAAGAGAAGAGGCATTAAACATGCCAGAAAGATTGAAATTGAAATAAGTTTATTGAGGTAAAATACACACAAAGGGATGAGGTAGCTCAAGCTATTCTCACCCCATTCAGTACAACGTGTTAAGAAAGATAGAAGAGAGGTGATATGATCACCACTTACAAAATACTAAGTTATAGACCAGATTGATAAAGAGGAATTCCTGAAACTATCACGTTCACGAACAAGAGGACACAGATTCAAAATGGTGGGTGGCGAGAAACAGAAAAAGAAAACAGAGGTGCCGAAAAAATATTAGCAAATTTTCTTTTGCAAAGAGAGAGGTAGACGGTTGGAACAAGTTAGATGAGAAGGTGGTGGAGGCCAAAACCGTCAGTAATTTCAAAGCGTTATACGACAAAGAGTGCTGGGAAGACGGGACACCGCGAGCGTAGCTCTCATCCTATAACAACACTTAGGTAATTACACACACACACAACAAAAACATTTGTAATTAATTTCCAGTTTGCTTTCAGTGACACAGTTACAGAGTGTTTGTGTTTGCTAAAGAATTATATCATAAACATTAGAATAAGAATTAGTGAGTATATAACACTACAGTGCATAAATGCTGCTACTACTCCTCTCTCTCACTCACTCACTCTCTCTCTCTCTCTCTCTCTCTCTCTCTCTCTCTCTCTCTCTCTCTCTCTCTCTCTCTCTCTCTCTCTCTCTCTCTCTCTCTCTCTCTCTCTCTCTCTCTCACACACACACACACACACACACACACACTAGTAAACACACAGTCGTACTCACCGTCCCTCTCGTGGATGTACCTCTGGAGAACTCTGGGGTTGACGTTGTCGAGGATGTTGAAGGAGGAACCATTCCTGATGGTCCAGGCCAGCCCGGTGAGGTACGGGTGATCCTTCAGGTTATGGCCCACGCCTGGTACGTTGGCCACCAGGGGAATCTGTCAGAGTCAACAGAGGAACGTTTCAGTACTGATGGGTAAGGTGCAAACCCTGGAAACACAAACCGAAACTGTCTCTATTTTCCGCTTGTTACAACTTGCAATAAAGTTGTTACATCTTGGCTTAACGTGTTTATGACGTATTAGAACGTTGTTATAACTTGCTATATTGGTTGTTATAACTGGTTAGGAGGTGTTAAAACTTGTTCGAACGTTGTACCAACGTCGTTGTTGCGGTGTGTGTTTGGCGGGAAACGTTCTCATTTTAGACGTTTTCATGTTCTCGATGACTGAGTGCTCACCAAACGTTTTTTTTTTTTTTTAGAAAATTTTACGTTTCTCCAACATTTAAATAACGTTAATAAACGTTCTGGTTACGTCATGAATTTGCTGGGTACGTTAAAATGTTTTTTAATGTAAAAACGTTTTTAAGTTTTGTGCTTGTTGCTTAGAAGTAAACACAGAGAGAAGCGAAATAAAACATGAGAAACTGCTTCTGTGTCCACCACAACACGAGTATATTAAAAAAAAAATGCTAATGCAATGGTAGAAAATGGTAAATAAAGAACAAAATAATAAGTATTCCGTGGCGGTAAGAATAGGGATACGTGCACCGTGGCGGTAAGAATAGGGATACATACACCGTGGCGGTAAGAATAGGGATACGTGCACCGTGGCGGTAAGAATAGGGATACGTGCACCGTGGGGGTAAGAATAGGGATACGTGCACCGTGGCGGTAAGAATAGGGATACGTGCACCGTGGGGGTAAGAATAGGGATACGTGCACCGTGGTGGTAAGAATAGGGATACGTGCACCGTGGCGGTAAGAATAGGGATACGTGCACCGTGGCGGTAAGAATAGGGATACGTGCACCGTGGCGGTAAGAATAGGGATACGTACACCGTGGCGGTAAGAATAGGGATACGTACACCGTGGTGGTAAGAATAGGGATACATACACCGTGGCGGTAAGAATAGGGATACGTACACCGTGGCGGTAAGAATAGGGATACGTACACCGTGGCGGTAAGAATAGGGATACATACACCGTGGCGGTAAGAATAGGGATACGTACACCGTGGCGGTAAAGCTGGTCGGCGGGTCCCACGCCAGACAGCATCAGGATCTGGGGAGAGTTGATGGCGCCAGCAGACAAGATCACCTCCCGCCTGGCGTATACTGACTTTACCTGTGGGGGAGGGCGAGAGTTTACCGGGTGTGGGGGGAGGCAGGGGAAAGGGGCTCCATGTGTGGGGGGTTGGAGGGGGGGCCTCCATTTGTGTGGGGATGGGAGGGGGTGTCAGTGGAAATACTGGGTGGGTATGTTTTGGATTGATGGGTATAGGATGAGTAAGCTTATGAGTGTGGATGAGTAAGCTTATGAGTTATGAGATCGTCTCGGGTGGTGTAGGTTGTTACTCATATGAATAAAAATATTAAGGTATTAAATCACACCTTTACTACACTATAAAGCTATTTTCATAAATAAAACCATCAGTAAAATATTTAGTATTCTTTTCTGAAGACTTATTATGCATAACAAGTAATTTTTTTTCCAATACTGCGTGAACCTAATTCTGAAGCTTTTAAACCTTGAAGTAAAAGATTGTAGCAGCTCATTAGAGCCGACGTACCTTGCCCCTGTGCTGGAAATTGACACCTATTGCTCTTTTGTAGTCGTCAAACAAAATCTGAAATGGAGGGAATTATTTTGTATAAGATAATTATAAATACCTGATAAATGGTGGTTTGTGTTGACTCCCACTGAGCATTTAAACTGTTGTGGTATACCAGCTGATGCAATCTAAGTATAGTCTAGTTACTGAATGGTATAATCTGTTCTGATAATTGTCATGTGGAATCTTGACAGATCATTAAGTATGATCACATACTTAAATTATATGAATGATTGCCATGCATAAAATTTAAGATATATAAATTAAATATATAACAAATGGTAGTGCGGTTTTAAAACCTTTGTTGTGTGGCTTGAGTGAATTTAATCTTGATAATTGTAACTAATCACCTGGAGGCTTTAGAGGCGGCCTTGGGTAACCAAGAGCCAGATTCACGAAGCACTTAAGCAAGCACTTACGCACCTGAACATCTTTTATCAATCTTTGGCGGCTTTCTTTACAATTATTAAACAGTTAATGAGCTCCGAAGCACCAGGAGGCTGTTTATAACAATAACAACAGTTGATTGGGAAGTTTTCATGCATGTAAACTGTTTAATAAATGTAACCAAAGCCGTCAATGATTGAGAAAAGGTGTACACGTTCGTAAGTACTTGCGTAACTGCTTCATGAATCTGGCTCCTTGCTTGCAGATCATCCTCTTATTTACTATTACGTTCGGCCTTGCTGGCAAGGATGTCAACAAGTCTGTTCAGCTCGTGAACTGTCATACCGATAATATTTCGTGAATAGCCTAGTGAAGTGCTCGGTGTATTGTCAACATATATTGAGACAGGTGTATGTGTACACAAGAGCTTCCTCTCCACGTGGCTCTTGTTTAATGACGCGTCGAGGTGCGGCTCGCATCGTTGACTCACCTGAGTGACGTGTGCATTGAGGACGACGTGTAGGTTGGGTCTGGAGGACGAGGGCTTGACGAAGGCTTCGGCCGTGGACCAACGCAGGCTGTTCCTCGATGTGAAGTCCACCACAGAGAAGCCTGGAAAGTTAACAGCAGCAGCTCTTAACACCAGTTATGGTAGTGTTTGGAGCAGCGATAGTCGTTACATAGGTTGATAGCGTACGTTTTGACAGGAGTTAGTTTGGTATTGGGCTCTAGGCCTTCCAACCGCCGGAGGGTTATTAAGGCCGCCACAATAGCTTACCAACCAACCAGTAAGTCTATATATAGTCCTGAACATGGTCCAGGATTATAGTTAACGCGTGCAAATGCACCGAGGAGCAGGGTACCACCCTTGATACGCATATTTTGAGAGTTAGTAAGTCACTCTGCACTAATCTCGGTCCTTTCAACACACTCGGTTATCAGTAATGAGGTCAATGGCACTCGACGTCTCCCAAGTTCACATTTTTATCCTTTTCTGCCTGTAAACATACGCCCTGTGCCGGGATACTCTCCTGTACACAGTTCTGGACTGAAGTTAACACTGAGGTATAGATATTCGCCGACAAATTTGGTACACCGATACATATCACTTAATAAAAACTTGGATATTTAAGGAAGAATACGAGCGACTATAGACTATAAACTGTTACCAGAATACTATGTAAATAAAGTTCGAGCTTCTTTGCAACATCTACAACTGTATAATTTATCCAATTATATGCATAGAAAAGTGATAAGAATCTTATTCGAAGCATTCGCCAGACATAAGAGGAAATACGCAGGGATGTTGTAGTGGGCACACTTGAATCTCTCTCATTATGTTAGGACACAGAGCTATGTTGTCAACTTACTCTTGAGAACTGCCTGCAGGTGGACACTCTCAAAACTATCGAAGGATATCAACAAAAGACACAAGGAAAATGTAATTACTCCGGACTGAAGCGTTCAGCGTTGAACGCGTTGCAAAACGAGGCGGTGTGCAACTTCGAAATATTTTAAAAAGAAATACGATAAGTACGAAAAAGTAGATGTGACTGACAGATGCAGGACCTTGAGCTGTCTACCCTTTTAAAGCCGGACAATATATGGTAATCACGTATTCACTGAAAATGGGGAGAAGGAAGAAGAGGTGGGGGGGGGGGAACTCACCTATCTGGTCAGGGTCGCTGGGATCCACTAGGTTGTATCCTAGCTGCCTCCCAGCCTTCAGCCACCCCTTCAGTACTGGGGTACTCCATTTCTTGTTCTCCACCGTCAGGGGTCCGCCGTATCCGTGAAGATGGGCTGGGATAAAGGTTTATACTCGTCAATTGCTCGTGTTGATATCAAATGTAATTTTCATAAGGCAAATTATGCTCCACTGAACAGCTGAGATTCATTGGGAAGCCGAAACTAACATTTTTGTATCGTGATGGTAACTCTTGAAGTATTTAACTTCATTTGAAATTGAAATTTGAAATTTGTCTTTAAATTTCATATACAACTGGACAAATTAAGCCTGTAAATGTAACTGAAAAGGGTCCAAACTTTCAATTATTACCTCATTAAAACTTCAAATTAAATTCTTTACTTTAAATATATTAAACACACAGGTGTCCACTTAATATAAAGAGTCAATCATCCACATGTATAAACGCTCACATAACCTACCTGTTTTCTTGTTGACCTTGCCTCTGTAGTCTTCAGACTTTTTAAAGTAAGGGAAGACGTCCTTGTATCCCCAGCCTGGGTTACCCATTGCTTCCCAGTGGTCGAAGTCGCGTCGGTTGCCACGGACATAGAACATGGAGTTGATGACTGAGGACCCGCCTATAACCCGTCCCCGTGGAAAAGGGATACGCTGTTAGAGAGAAAATCATTTTTATTACGTTGGAAGCATGTTGAATGGTTTGGTTTTATTTCTTATTTCTGAGGCGTGTAAGGTTAGGTAGAGGGGGATTTGTGAGTTTGTTGTGGCATTTTTCTTGCTCGCTCTCTCGCTCTCTCTCTCTCGCTCTTTTTCTTTCGCTCTTTTTCTTTCGCTCTTTTTCTCGCTCTTTTTTTCGCTCTTTTTCTTTTGCTCTTTTTCTTTCGCTCTTTTTTACTTTCGCTCTTTTTTACTTTCGCTCTTTTTTACTTTCGCTCTTTTTTACTTTCGCTCTTTTTTACTTTCGCTCTTTTTTACTTTCGCTCTTTTTTACTTTCGCTCTTTTTCTCGCTCTCGCTCTCTCGCTCTCTCCACCCCAACTTACATTATCAGTAAAACCATTGAAGGACTTGCTCTGAGGAGTGGTGAAGTAGTTCCAGTCTGCGTCACCCTGGAGGAGGAGCTGGTTGAAGCCTGGAACATGACTCTCTGCTGGAGGGGTGCCTCCAGCCTCCAGCAGGAGCACTCTCCATTCCCCGATCTCTGTCAGGCGTGCCGCTAACACGCTCCCTGCCGACCCGCCTCCCACTGTGTAGTATAAAGATCAGGGATAGTTTAGTTCAGTTTACCCTCCCACTGTGTAGTATAGAGGAAGATCAGGGATAGTTTAGTTCAGTTTACCCTCCCACTGTGTAGTATAAAGATCAGGGATAGTTTAGTTCAGTTTACCCTCCCACTGTGTAGTAGAGAGGAAGATCAAGGATAGTTTAGTTCAGTTTACCCTCCCACTGTGTAGTAGAGAGGAAGATCAGGGATAGTTTAGTTCAGTTTACCCTCCCACTGTGTAGTAGAGAGGAAGATCAGGGATAGTTTAGTTCAGTTTACCCTCCCACTGTGTAGTAGAGAGGAAGATCAGGGATAGTTTAGTTCAGTTTACCCTCCCACTGTGTAGTATAGAGGAAGATCAGGGATAGTTGAGTTCAGTTTACCCTCCCACTGTGTAGTATAGAGGAAGTTCAGGGATAGTTTAGTTCAGTTTACCCTTCCACTGTGTAGTAGAGAGGATGATCAAGGATAGTTTAGTTCAGTTTACCCTTCCACTGTGTAGTAGAGAGGAAGATCAAGGATAGTTTAGTTCAGTTTACCCTACATAAAGGGAATTTCTTTTAACAAATCATTTTGTCCAGGGTACATTCAACCTGTGAATATATATACATTAGGCTTATATCGAGATCCCCTCCATCTTTAAGGTAGAATTATTGACCCTCCCCAGGGTACAACCCCCCCCCCCACATCAAGTTGACTAACTCTCCAGATATTTATATATTTATTGCTGGGTGAACAGAGGCATCAGACACGTGTTGTACGAAAACGTGCCCAAACGTCTCGTTCAGCCAAGGAATCAAACCATAGCTTCTCAATACGAAACTTAACATCTTTCAGCCTGTCCTCCAAACTAAGACCAAAAAGTGATTCCATGCACCCGCCAAACCCCAGCTGTTTATGAATGAAAAACGGTTTACACACGACTCACAACTGATGACATTCGAACACTTCCGGAACAAGTGCTTCACTGACGACTTTTGTTCGAACCACAACGCTGCAAATGCTTCACCCACGTACTACAAATACAAATAATCGCCAACAGAACCTAAGCACCTAACCTAACCTATGCCAGTATATGCACAATATATTATAATATTAATTTATATTTGAGAAAATTCCCGTTTTGAATGAAAAGCATGTTAAAATTTCTGAATGCGTGTGTGGGGTCGACCGCTGGATGTAATCGACTTGAGTCGAGGACGGGTTGCCTCTTTCCTCAATCATTTTTCGGCTCTGAAACTTCACAACCCGACGCTATTGTTATGGACAACTTCGTGACGCTTCGGGGCTTTCAGAAAATGTTAATAAACACGAACTATGCGGCCGAGATCGAGAAAAGATGAACAGGTTTCGTAAGAGGACACACAAATGCTTGATGAATCGTGGCCTATGTTCAGAACTACAGTGTTCTTGGGTAAACTCAATACCAACCAAGAGATATATACACCGGGGGAGTGTAAACCATTTTTCGGTGTATAAACATTTAGTCCTGGACTGAAGTATACTCTATGTTCAAGCCTATACTGTATACCTGCCGCTTGGTCAGTAATAGTCTGGAGGCCTTAATAACCCTCTGAACGTTGGTAGGCCTTAATAACCCTGTAAACGTTAATAGGCCTTAATAACGTTGCTAACGTTGATAGGCCTTAATAACCTTCCAAACGTTAATGGGCCTTAATAACCCTCTGTACGTTGATAGGCCTTAATAACCAACCATAAGTGTGTAGGCCTTAATAACCACCCAGAGGTTTATAGGTCCCAACACGAAACTAAATCGTCTGGTCATGGAACTTTCATTTTTGGAGTGACCCAGGCTGCTCTTAACCCCAATTGCACAAGTACTGACTCAGAGCAAGCACCCATCCCAATTATATAAACCAGTTGGCCACTTTTAACACTGTCATTCCCATTTATTTTTAGCTTCTGAATTTCCATTTGCCTTCACCACCACTTTTCACCTTATTCAATTTTAATAGTGTCCGTTTATGCACTTCCATCAAGAGATCATCTTGTCTACACTGTAAAAAATTGAAACATTTGCATTCATTAGGCTTTATATGCTGTAAATATTCATATTATTAGGTCTATACTTCTAGCAACATTCTTATCGTGGCTTCCCACATTACCCCATCTAGGTATATTGAATAGCTAAAGTGACATCTTTCAATTGTGGCGTATATTATCTACTCGAGAAATCATCCCAGGTTCTTACTATACTATTAACTCATTTATACCTGTGTATAAATGTGTCACAACATTTCACATCACTCTGTCACCTCCATGCATGCTCATCACTCTCTCCAAAGTCCTTGTCTAACAGCCTTGTCATAATAAACTTTTACTAAGTCCATAATTGCCACGAGCACCTAATTGACAGTGTGTTGTCATGTGTCATTTATGTATAAGTTGTCTCGATGAAAAATATATGATATGCACTCTATGCTCCTCGCAGCCTATTAATCTGTAATCAATTTCTCAGTCATATCTTGCGCTCATCTGATCACTTTGCTCATTTTTATGACTCTGTCGCTTCTGTTCATTGTTAATTTGTTATCGCTTCGTCTCGCATTAAATTTGAAAACGTTCAGCCCCTCACAATATCTACTCTCGAGTGAAACCTATCTTGCAAATAGCCATACAAACCTGCCTTTGCTTTCTGGGGCCTGGGCAGGTGTGGGGGCCCTGGGCAGGTGTAGGGGCCTGGGCAGGTGTGGGGGGCCTGGGCAGATACGGTGCCCAAGGCTAAAACCGTTCTACATGAATAATCTTGAGAAGATCGACCCCCCTCCCAGCAGCCGTCATCTCCCACTCTAACAAAACATCACATGCCACGCAGCATCTAAGACACGGTGCACCGCGGGTGTCTTACCGATGACAAAGTCGTACTGGTTGCGCAGCTTGAAGGAGGCGTCGTAGTTGTGGTCGCCGGACTCCCGCAGCACCACCAGCAGCAGCAGACGCAGCAGGGTCACTGGGATCGACCGCAGGGCCATTAAGTGCGAGGTCATCTTTTTCTAGTTGGGGGTCCGCCACCGATCGCCCGATGGTCTGGTCTTGTTGAGTCTCCCCTGGAGTTAAAGTATAGAAAATAAGGACCAATGAGACCAATCATTCTATCACGTATGGATGGCATTATGGGGAAAATATAAAATAATACTTATTTAATTAAATAAGACAATTTATTTAATAGAAATACATCATTACGAATGAAAATACCTGGGACCTATAATCGACATATTGGCAAGGGTGTATAATCCATACACCAATTCTATATTCTTGGTTCAAATATATCTTGGTCGATAATGCAATTGAAAATACTCTCTTGACATTCTGTCCGTTGAGAGAGGGAAAAGTTGTCAACTCATAGTTCAGAGAACTATATTTCTGTGAGAAATTTTCTATATTTCTGTCCGGTCCGTTGGTGGGCGAGGGGGGGGGGGATGCTGTCGTTCGGTCCGTTGGTGGGCGAGGGGGGGGATGCTGTCGTTCGGTCCGTTGGTGGGCGAGGGGGGGGGATGCTGTCGTTCGGTCCGTTGGTGGGCGAGGGGGGGGATGCTGTCGTTCGGTCCGTTGGTGGGCGAGGGGGGGGGATGCTGTCGTTCGGTCCGTCGGTGGATATGGGGGGAGGGGAGAGGTTGTACGGTCTCCAGGTGGGCGTAGGGATGAGAGGTTGTTCGGTTAGGTTAGGTCGATTTTAATACATAAAAGGATCCGCCGTTGAATACTGGTACTTATATACAGTATACATAACGATATGTATGATCCACGTATTAGCCCAATGACTAATTACCCAGCTCGTTCTCGCCAGCGTTCCCAACGTCAAGAAATTGTCGTACTAAAGTGCCCTTATCCTAACCTACCAGAGGACCCAAAACAGAAAACGGGACAGGTATGTCAATTCCGCGAGCCGCTACCATTTTCTAGTACGATAATTTTTGGCCTTGGGTAGATTATACGTCAAAATGCGACGTGCTATGAGGAGGACGGGTTGACTAAACCACCTTGATGGCTATATATATATATATCTACCCTGTTGGATACCACATTCACAAGCGGCTGGATGTTTAAAAGTCAGTGGGATTCATGGTACGATCAAATAGTGCAGCCAGTGTAATGAGTCATTAAACTCTGATCAATTTATTGGACCAGTTTGTTCCATGCCAGGCCTTCAATTTATTGGACCAGTTTGTTCCATGCCAGGCCTTCAATTTATTGGACCAGTTTGTTCCATGCCAGGCCTTGTCTCGTGTTGGACGAGGTCAATTGTGACCTCGTGCTGGCACGAGGTCACCTGTGCTTACCTCCACTAGAGGTAAGCACGGGTGACCTCTAGTGGAGGGCTCTTGACCCCATTGGCAGCTACCTTGTAGACTAGTTTTCTCAATGTTCTAAACCAATAAATGTTTGCCTGCGCGAGCATTTGCTATATCTTATTTTGCTAATAAAACTTGTACAATATTATTTGTCTGAAGTTGTTCCTTTCCGTTTGTTTTTTGAAGAAAGACTTAGTCTTTGCTAACTTAGTGTTCTCAGTCTTATCTTTGTTAGATTATCTTTTTGCAGATTTGTTCTATAATCAGTTCCTCGTGCAAATTATGTGGTACGCAACTTGTTACCATAAAGGAGGAATACAGCCTTGACCCCTGGAACACCACCACCACCTAGAGGTACACGCTAACTATGAGCCCCGAGTTACACTGTACCATAGGCACCCAACCCACACACACGTGGGAATAAAGGAATTGACGACGTTTCGGTCCATCGTGGACCATTATCAAGTCCAACATGGGCCGAAAAGTCTGCCTGCCCCACAGCGTAGACAAGAATTTGAGAGTATAGATAATCTAAAAACTATAAGAGGCAGCTCCTATTTATATTAATCCAAAATAACTCATATTATGGAAAAAAAATTATGCACCTAGCGTGACTCAGGACGCTGGTTCCAATCCACCTCCGTGCTTCAAAGATTTTCTTAATAGATATATTAAGTTTTCACTTAATATATCACTATATATTTCACTATTGTGTTTTCACTGTGCATGATTCACACCTAAATGCATGATTTAATCTGCTAAGCCAGTATAACTATACAACACTTGGAAAGGATATGAGACAGACTAAGGGCTGGGATAAGAGATTAGCGTGAAGGAGTGGTGTCCAACCACTTGAATCATAGTTGAACGCCAACCCAGCAAAGAGCAAGGCTGTCGCTGTGTCAACCACTCTAGACAGACTGGGGTCAAACATCGAAAAACAGTTGGATACTTCAAACTAATCATGATGGATCAGTTTTCTTCAGGAAATATCAGTTCTAAATTGAAGCCTATCTATCTATCTATCCCAGTAAATAGCAAATCTGTTAATTCACAATTATACGAAACTCGTTTAAAATGATCTAAATAGTAAGAGTCACCATTGAGTGAAAGTACTAAGAAAGAAGTAGTCTTTATTTTTGACTATTTATAAAGCTCAATATTCTGGCCTGATAAACTATTCCCATTTAAACTTTTTTCGACATAAATGAGTGGGCAAGTCTTGGGTTCACCGTGACCTACTCCTTACTACAAACACTACCTTGGCACCACTAATGTTGGCTCACGCTGCACACACCTCTTTAAACAATTCTTGAAATAAATTATTGCAGTTTATTCGAGTTTCAAGTTATTGTTTAATGATACAATATTTAGTGAGCCAACATAACCCTACAAATAAATCATGTATGACAAAGTTTATCAATTTGATAAACTTTTTTGTCATTCAAGGCAAGTTTATCAAGGTAATTTGATGATTTTTATAATTAGTCTTTAACTGTTCTACACGAAATTTTTGTTTTTCCTGTTTCAGATTTAGCTACTCAGAATGACGTGTCCATGTAGCACGGGCTATGGTGAGCCCGTAACTTTTTTTCCAACTGTCCCACATTTTAAGGGGGTTGATACAATTTCCCGACACCTTCTGTAGTTGGCACTTTCCTGTGTGTCCCGTACCCTGGTTGTGACGTCCCCCAAGTGTATATAGTTTTACTAAAGTTTTCCTCCAAGTTTGGGGGGGAGGCTGATAAGAGCTCCGCGCTGTAGGATATCTGCTGTCATCATTGAGGAGGACGAGTCATTTAGAGGAGCTTGGATAACTACTTGTGTGACGTTAAAATCTCGGGTCAAACAACGCCCCGGATTTCACTATTTCGTTGGTATCTAAGGTCATCATTCCGTGTTTCAGAATTAACCATAAGTTTCTTAGGTCATTATCCCGTGTTTCCGTATTTAACATATGAACTTTTTAGGGTCATCATCCCGTATTTCAGGATGATATACCTCAGTCAGGTGTGGGCTTGCCCTTGGCACTCTACCGGCAAGTTCCACATATTACAACCGGAGAATATGCAAGATATGAGAGTTGTGTGTGCCAATTCTATGTTTTGGATACTGACACGAGCTCCCAGATCTTCCTCACGGTTTGACACAGGATATATTCACCGGGAAGAATTGGATATATATACACCGAGAAAAATAAGGATATACACAACGAGAATAGGATATATTCACTTGGAAGAACAGGATATATATACCAAGAAGAGGATTACCCTGAATGTAACTGTTGGACGCCGTATCTATTTCTTGCTGGGTGTTTTGGGGTCAATGGCTGTCAAGGGTAATTAATAGTGACCGATGCTGAGTGTTCCTCTTGAGACTTTGTGTAAACTAATGACCCCCTTTAGAACTACAGGGACCAGGAGTCAACAAGTATTTACAACCCCCCCACCACTTGCGAAACCCGTACATATCTTTCTTCAATAGTGGCGGCTTTGTTTACATTTATTAAACTGTTTACAAGCCTGTAAACAGCACAACCCAAGGGTTATTACTGGTATAAACAATCTCGTATAGTGGTTCGGAGTCCATAAACTCTTTTATATATCCAAAGCCGCCATGATGGAATAATGTGTTTCATGAATATATATAATATATTTATATATATATATATAATATATATTGCTGGTTGGCCAATAAGCTTTTGTGGTGACATTTATAACCCTGCTGAGGTTTAATAGACCTTATATAACTCCTTTCACACTCTCCCATCAACACTAGCCCTCACTCTTGTTACTAACTTGCATTTTTATGAAGACAAAATAGTTAGAATCCATCGTGATGAATTTTAATGTACCTACAGACAAATGGAGTAGGTAGAGATATTAACTAATTTGTATGTTTGATGGTAATTTTGTACCAGGGTGAGGTATATCGGGTCCTTCCCCTGGCAATTGTCCCCAGCAAACGGGTCCCCCACAGAAAAGGGACCCCCGCCACAGCAAACGGGTCCCCCGCCCACAGCAAACGGGTCCCCCGCCCACAGCAAACGGGTCCCCCGCCCACAGAAAATGGATTCCCCCTACAGCAAACTGGTCCCCCACCCACAGAAAATGGATCCCCCGCCCACAGCAAACGGGTCCCCCACCCACAGAAAATGGACCCCCCCCCCCGCAGCAAACACGTCCCCCCGCCCACAGAAAATGGGTCCCCCCCCCCACACACACACACAACAAACGGGTCCCCCTTCTCGCCGCCCCCCTACACAAGTCGCCAGCACTCCACAGGTGAGGGCCAACAAGCCGGCCTCCCACACCCACATTCCTAACCTTAACTTCACCTCCTTACCAATGCGAAGGAGAAATATATGTTAGCGCTCTCTGACCGCTCCTCCAGCGCACTGATCCACCACCAGCTCACCTACCTGTTGATTGACGGTTGAGAGGCGGGACCAAAGAGACAAAGCTCAACCCCCGTAAACACAACTAGGTGAATACCTACCGAGTGAGGTTTACGCTTACGGTTTCCAAGGTTTTCAAACGGCGAGAGTACTTAGCCGGAAGTGATAGTGAACTTACGACACACCCATTAAATATAGAGAAAACTCAACAATTTTCTGATATCTTTTGAGGAATTTGGTATGCGCGACTGTTTGGGAAGTTAAGAAGCACTTGGGCCATCGGGGATTGAATGCCGACCTGCAGGAAGGGAATATAATAGATTTGTTTCAAGCTCTGGCTGTTGGGGATGTGGAAGAC